CTTACTGTCCACGACCCCCAACTCTGGCCAGGACCCCCACCCCAGCCCCTTCCTCACGGTCCGCGACCCCCAACTCTGGCCAGGACCCCCACCCCAGCCCCTTCCTCACTGAACACGACCCCCCAGCTCTGGCCAGCACCCCTACCCCAGCCCCTTCCTCACTGACCGCGACCCCCAACTCCAGCCCGGACCCCCGGCCCAAGCCCCTTCCTCAGCTGACTCCGACCCCCAACTCGGTCCGCAGCCAAATCGGAGCGCCCTCCCTGGGCTGGCCGCCCCCGCCAGCCCTCCTCCCCGGCCGCACCCTGTCCCCCGGGCCCGAGGCGAGGGTGGCGGAACCCGGCCCGGCCCGCGGTTGCGAGCGCCCTTACCTGCGCTCCGGCCGCCGCGGCCGCCTCAGCCGCCTCAGCCCCGCCGCGCAGCCGAACCCGCTGCCTAGCCGGCGAGCGCCCGCTCCCACCGCGGGGCGGGGCCTACTCCCGGGGGGCGGGCACTGGCAGCCAGCTCGGCCAATCGAGAGCCTCGGCGGCGGGAGGCCCCGGCCGGGGCGGGGCGCAGGGCAGGCAGCGGGGTAGGCTGCGCGCAGGCGAGGGGGCGGTGCCCGCGTTGTGGGCGGGGTCAGAAGGCGGAGCGCTGAATGGCACCGCCGCTGGCCACCCGCGAACGAAGAGCACGGCGCGGGGGGCGGTGCTATGCTAATATGCAAATAGTCCCGCTGTGGTGGACTCCACTGCTGACGACCAGCGGATTTCCAGAGGTGACTCGATGACGTCAGCCGGGTGCGAGGCGCTTCGCGAATTCGAATCCCCAGCGGGGCTGCGAGTTCGAATCCAACATCCTAGCCTCACTTGAGGGAGAAGTGTATCGCTTCCTAACCAGCAGGACAGTAATGACTGCTCCCTTATTTTGAATCTTCTGCATAAGGCTAAGAGGTGAAATTACATTGTCTGCGTTTTACAGCGGCGGTAACTGAGTCTCAGAGAAGTTAAACCCAAGGTCATTTGCCTAAGCCTAGCTCATAATTTCCAGGGTTTCTCAATTTCCTAACTCCTGGGCCTGGATCTAAAAAAGCAGCTGGGGCACCAGGGTGGCTTAGTCGGTTAAACGTCTGACTTAGGCTGACTTCAGCTGGGGTCGTGATCTCACAGTCCGTGAGCCCGAGCCCCATGTCGGGCTCTGTGCTGACAGCTCAGAGAAACTGCAGCTTGCTTAGGATTCTGTGTCTCCCTCTCTCTGTTCCTCCCCCGCTCACTCTCTCTCTCTCTCAAAAATAAAAAAATAAAGATTAAAAAAAAATAATAATAAAATAAATAAATAAGCACCTTCCAAGGCACCCACCCACATTGAATGGTACAGAATCCTATAAGAACTGGACCCCTGGAATGTGCATTTTTATTTTTTTGAGGGGGAATGTGTATTTTTAATAAGCTCCCCCGGCGATGTTGAAACACGTGTGGTTTGTCTCCAAAATTATCCAGCAATCACGGAGGGGAGAATTTCTCACAGGGGATGATGGACCTCCAGATTCTGGGACTTCTAGAACTTTCTGCAAAGCTGACATTCTGTGATCTGAGCCTCTGGCCTCCCAGCTGAGCCCCCACAGGGCTCCTGCCTTCCCTGCAGGAACCTCCCGATCATCCTTTGCAGTGCACAGAGAGAACCAAGTGCCTGGGGCCCAGCCTCTCACTCCGCAGTCCACATCTCCACAAAGGAATTGTTATCTAAACAAGGGTCACAGATTGGTGGCCCTCGGATGAGATGTGGCCCCAAAGTGCTTTAAAAATGTAAGTTTGTTGCCAACATTTAAAAATAAGGACGTTTCACAAGAAGAAATCTGGATTTCCAGGCACCCTTGAAAGATCAGAAGGAAGGTCTGGCCATTCCTGGGCCACTTGGGTGACGTGGCTGAGCTTGCTTCACTCAAGGGCATCATCATGTGGCCCTAAAGACAGAGCAGGACTGGGACTGCGGTGAGGCAAGCACTTTCCTCAAATCCAAAGCCTAAAGGGGCCCCATGAAAAACAAACCAAAACCCTGCTATCAAGATAAATACTATGCTACTGCAATATTTTAAAAATTCAAAATAAATGCAGAAATGATCCAGGAAGAACAAAATACCAAAATTTTAGGAAAGACAAGATCTGACGTTGCACTTGGACCAGCCAGGAGCTTTGCTTCTCCCAGGCCCTGACAGATCCTGTCTTTATTTAAAACATCGGTATGTTTTCACCACGGTTTCCTTTGCATTAAACACTGCTTTGACATATGTATCTCCGTGGCTGAGTTCTTGGCATCCCCCACTCAAGTTCTGTGCTCCTAGCAAGTGCCTCAGTCTTCTCACCCTCATCTTGCCCCTGCTCGGAAGTTTGCAAACTCTGCCCCAAGCCAACGTTTAGCAGATGGGGAAGCTGGGGCCCCGCGGATTCCTCCCCGTGTGAAAGGCGGCTCGATGCACCTGCTCGTTCCTCGCAAGTGGCTGCGGTGAGGACGGGCTCCAGCAGCGCCTGTGAGGTCTCTTGTGGGGGGGCCCCCCGGGGGGAATGCTGAACTGTCTTCGTGGCAAACGTTCGACCTCTTCCCACAGCCCCTTCCTTTGTCCCCACCCTTCACCCCCATCCCCCACCTCCTCCATCCTTCATCCCTCACTTCCTCCTCATCACTTGCCCCCATCCTTTACGTTTCTCATCTTTTGCAGGGCTGCCTCCCCCCCCCCCCGAAAGAAAGAATACTGATGGGGAATGCAGGATCCACTTCTTTATTGCAGGAAGACTATTTCTAGAACAAATGCTACACAGACCCCACAATGGGGGGCAGGGGGCACCCACATGCGGGGGGGGGGGGGGGGAGAAGGGGCAGGGGTGGAACCACAGCAAGCATGACCTGGCACGGTCCCCAGGACAAGGGATGCCCAGGCAGGAAGGGCCAGCAGCAGGCGTAGGCTCCTACCCCGCCTGCTGCAGGATCCCTCTCCCCAGGGAACCAGTGCCTGGGGTGGGAAAGGCCTGGAGGTGGGCGGGGTCTCAGGGAGATTGTGCTATCAGGGTGTGTCCCTGAGAAAGGGCTGCAGACACCTGCCCGGCAAGGCCCAGGAAAAGCTCCCAGGGTGGGGGTGGGGGGAGCATCACCAGATGCTGTTGGGCCCTGGACCCGCCACGGGATGGAGGAGCCCAGCTGTGCCCAGGCAGGACGCTGCCAGCTCTTCCAAGGGCCCGTCCACGTGCCAGGTGGTGACACACACATGCACACACACACTCCCTCCCTCTCTACACGGTGTGCTCAGTAAACATCTGTGGAGTCACACGGACACAGGGAAAGTCAAACACACTGCTACCAAGATGGACACGAACAGTCCCCACGTGGTCGCACGACTGTCCAGCCATAGGGCCTTTCTCTCTCACACGTGCGCACACACACACAGGTCAGTCCCAACGCTGCCAGCAACCCCAGGTTGAGACCCATGTGGCGAGGAGCCGAGGGTGGCTCTGGCTGTCGTCCAGCGAGCCTCTGAGCCCCTTGGTCCCGCGACAGCAGAAGACTGAATGTTGCCAACAGCCGCGTGAGCTTGGGAGCGCACGGTTCCCCACTCAGCCTTCAGATGAGACTGCAGCCAGCCCGTGCTCCGATCGCAGCCTCGTGAGGTCCCGAGTAGGAGACGAGGTGAGCCACCCCCAGGCTCCTGACCCACAGGGATGGAGGTGATAAACGTGTGTTGTTTCAAGTTGCTGATCTGTGGCCATGTGTTTGTTAGGCAGCATCATCTGACTGATACAGAGTTCGAGCCGAGAGCCACCTTGCTACAAAGTCAGACAGGCCTCGTGTTCCTCAGGCAGAACGAAACGGTTTACAGACGCTGTCCTATGAGCCACGTCCCCCGCTCCCCCAAATACGGTCACTTACAATCACACTTACGCTGGTACAAAGGTTCCCACCAACACAAATATCCACTTCTATGGACAATTGCACCGCCCACCCCTACGTGTTGCCTACACCATCGTTACATACACAGACTATCACAGTAACACCCTACCCGAATGACAGCCACACACACACACACACACACACACACACACAAACACACACGAGTGTACGCGTAGACACAAGCCATCTGCCTGTCCACGCCAAGTTGCACAAATGCACCACCCATGGTCACCGCACCCCCCCCCCAGGCCTACAGCCCACTTCATGGCTTGTCAGACACAGTCCCACGGGGTCCCATGAGTGTGGCGTTATCTAGACAGTCTGGAGCACTCAGAATCTCCTGGTGGAGGTAAAGCCCTGACCCCAGGAGACACGTCTTCCTGGGCAGACCCCCTCTCTCTGGGGCACAGCTGGTGGGAGACAGACTCTGTCTTGAGCCCCTTCAGATCCTGCTGGTGCTGGGTCCAGCCGCCTACCCCTGGATGGGGCCCCGGGTACCGCCTCCCCAGCACCCCATGTCCCCCTGCCTGAGGCTCAGTGGTGACACACTGTGCCAGTCTGTGGGCCGTTGTCTGGGGACACCCTCCATATTCACGCTGGACAGTCCCCTTGGGTTGTGCTGTGGCCATGGGCCAGTCCTAGGCCTCCCCCTGCCTGCACCCCAGCCTCACCTCAGGCTGGGCGAGCAGTGGGACTCCAGGCTGGCGGGGTGCTGTCGCAGGCTCTGTGGTTATTGCCTGGTGGCCTGAGACCCATCCTGCAAGCCTCCCCCACCCCCCGCCCCCACCCCCGAACCGGGGCTGTGGGGACAGAGGTGAGGACTGATCTGGGACCTGGGGTGGGGGCACAGGCCAGAAGTCACAAAGGATGGAGCAGGGGCAGTGTACGTTAAACACCAAAAAGGAGGAACCGAACTCTGAGGTCCATGTGCATTTCAACTCTCCCCCCCACCCCCAGCAAGGTCACAGTGATCTAATGGGGGAGACACAGGTCTGGCTCGGGGCACCCAAGGGAAAGAGACAGAGATGGGCAGAGACAGGGGAGACCTGGCGTCCTCAGGCTCAGCGGGGACGGGCAGCTTCCCCATTTTCTCATGTGCGGATCCAGGGGGCCACCTCCAGCACTTGGCTTTGGGGGGGTGCAGACAGGGCTGGGGGGCAGAGAAGGAGGGAAGGCAGAGCCGTGCGGCAGAGCCAGGTTGGAGCCCCAGACCTGCCGTGGGCTCACTGGGGCCTCGGTTTCCCCCCCCCCCGCCCCGCAGAGGTGTTGGATGAAGGAAGGGAAGAAGAGAGATGAAAGGGAGAGAGAGAAGGAGAAGGGGGGTATGGCGGGGAGGATCGAGGGACGGGAGCAGAGGGCTGGAGGAGGAGGAGGAGGAGGAGGAGCAGGGGCTTTGGGAGAGGCTTGGACCGGCTGGTGGCAGGCGTCCCGGGCTCACATGAGGACGCATTTGCCCTTGACGCGGTCTGTCCTCTTCTGTTTGCTGGAGCGCTTGCCGTCGATGTTCAGGCTCATGTTTCGGCGCGTC